CAGTCTCTAGGAGCCTTGGTGCTACCTTCAGTGAGTTGATAGGGCAGCCTACTTCACCATATCTACATGTCCCTGGTCCTTCCATAGTTGCTCCTATTACTGGGACTACAGAGACGCTCCCTTCCTCAGTTGCATCATTAGAGCCGCCTGCCACAGTCATACCTGCAGAGTCACAGGCCGCACCAGTCCCTGATCTGACCTAGACCGCTTCAGCGTTGCTTCCAGCCACAGAGGGTCAGACTGCATAGAGCTCAGGATCAGATGATGATGCTGCCCAGTTCCAGATCGCTCATCGCACTTCAGCGCCCGACTCGTCCGCTACAGCCCCACCGACCGACCCTATGTTTTTTGTGTTTGACGCCAAAGGGGGAGAGGGATCAAGTATGGTAGACTTAGGGGGAGTGATACATTTAGGGGGAGCCTATCTATTACATTTGGATTTTTATGTGTGATACTTATTATGCATTCATGTTTTACTTTCATGCATCGAACTATATTTATGTGATAGTGATATCTACGTGATGTGATATTTATGTGATATGTGACATGTGCTCTCTACTTGAATTATCTATATGTCATGTCACTTGCTTATGCTCATTTGTTTTGCTTCCGTATTTTACTCCGATGCAAATGAGCTTTATTTCTAGTACTTATGCTTATTTCATATCTATTGAGTACATCATGTTGGCTTGGGTCATATAAGCTTGCCTAACTCTTTTGTTCTTAATGTCAAAAGCTTATATGAACCAAGCATGTTGAAACCCTCATCTCTTTTACATACTCGAGGTTGTATTGTCATCAATCACCAAAAAGGGGGAGATTGAAAGCATCTAGGCCCCTAGTTGGGTTTCGGTGATTAATGACAATACGTGATTACTGTGACTAACGTGTGTTTTGCAGAGGCAATTAAGTTAGGTCATGGTAATGGAGATTGATTGGGCAATCATGGTTGTCATGCCCCTACGAAGGAAATCATTTCGGTTTTCAAAGGATGGATGACAAGGTTAAGGATGGACTAGTTCTAAGTGTTGTTTGGTGTTGAAGAGACACTTAGAGTAGTTTAGGACTTTGTTTTTCCTTTGGTCGTACTATTAAGACGGGTATGGACGGGTTCCTTGACCTAGGTGAGTCTTGTGGGTTAGGTGTGGTGCACACTTGTCAAATCTAGCACTAGGTAGCTCCTAAATAGCCCTTAGATCAATTGGAGCAAACTTCATTCACATATGATTGCGAGTTGGAAGTGAATGGAGGGTCAAATGTTGATCGGACGCTGGTTCCGGTGTGACCGGATGCTGGCGCAGAGTCCGGTCAGTTCATTTGATCAAGGTGAAGTCATCTGGTGCGACCGGACGCTGAGTTGAAAAGCGACCGGACGCTGGGTGCCAGCGTCCGGTCAACTCCAGTAATGTTGCAGAGAGCGGTTTTTGTGACCGGACGCGTCCGGTCAGTGCTGACCGGACGCTGGTCAGTGTCCGGTCATCACTTAACTGCTCGGTTTTGGGGAGAACTAACCGGAGCGTCCGGTCACCTTGACCGGAGCGTCCGGTTACCCCGTAGAGGCACATAACGGTTCGTTTTGAATGAGAGGTTATTAATACTTCCTCTATTCACTCAAGGGATCACTTTTGCTTATTCTAATAGCTGAGAAACACCCTTGAGAGTGTCAAGAAAAGCAAGGTCATAGTGAGGTAATTGAGATTTGAAAATCCAAGAGAGGCCTCATTAGTGAAAGCAAGAGTAGCAAAGTGTGCATCCACCCTTCTCATTAGGCTTGTCGTGGTCAAGTGAGAGTTTGTACTTATTACTCTTGGTGATCGCCATCACCTAGATGGCTTGGTGGTGATTGGGAGCTTGGTGATCATCCGGCGTAGCTTGTGGATGACCCAACTCAAGTTGTGAGCGGTTGTGGGTGATTCACCGCGACGGAGTGTCGAAGAATCAACCCATAGAGAGCACTTGATCCTTGTGTGGATCAAGGGGGAGCTACACCCTTGCGCGGGTGCTCCAATGAGGACTAGTGGGGAGTGGCGACTCTCCGATACCTTTGCAAAACATCGCCGCGTTGCTCCTTCTCTATTTACTTTAAGCATTTACTTTGAGCAATTCAATTCTTGTCTTTACATTCATAGAATTGCCATGCTAGAGTAGGATTAGAACATAGGTTGCTAAACTTTTGTGCGGTAGAACAATAGGAACACTTTCTAGGCACAAGGGGTGAAGTGGGCTAACCGTACGGTTTAATTATTGCAAAGAATTTTAGAATTAGCCTAATTCACCCCCTTTCTTGGGGATCTTGATCCTTTCAGCTGTCTAAGGTTACATCATTTATACTAAGTACGTTATATTTAGAGCATTGTCTTTCAATATTACCCTTATTTGTAGCTATATGTGAGATTTGACTTCCTGAGCTCACATATGGTGCGTATCTGGTTTTGTTCTTAAAACCAGGTGCTACATAGACTTCAGCATTTAGCTAGAATTTTTGGTTGTTCCCTAGGTAATTTACCTTTCACCTACCTTGATTTACCCCTAAGCATAGCTAGACCCAGAGTTGAAGATTTTTGGCCCTTGGTCTCCAAATGTGAAAGGCTGGTTGGTACTTCTCTCTTCCTAAGTCAAGCTGGAAGACTGCAATTAACAAATTCAGTGTTTAGTGCCCTTCTAACATTTACAATGTGCACTCTTAAACTTCCAAAAACTATGATAAAGCAGATTGACAAGTTTAGAAAACATTGTCTTTGGCGTGGGGCTGACATCAATGAAAAAGCCCTCCAAAAGCTATTTGGGAGATGGTCTATCAACCTAAAGAAGAAGGTGGCATGGGTGTGCTTAATCTTCAGACACATAATGAGGCTCTGCTCCTGAAGCACTTGGGTCCAGTTGATTTGGGAAAGACACTATACAAATGGCAAGCTTCCTAACCACACTAGAAAAGGGTCCTTCTGGTGGCGCGACATTTTGTTTCTTTTGGACTCCTACAAAGGTATTTCTTCACCATTAATTCACTTGGGATCCACTATGCCTCTTCATTTGGCGCCATCAGAAGTTCTCCTCCACTTCAAAACTCAGTTGGTTGTTCCTTTCTTCATGGAAATCATCACCATTTATGTGCTGGTCAATTTGGTGCTCAAGAAACGACTTCATCTTCAATGGGGTGCAACCTTCCCTGACACGTTGTATGAGTAAGTTCAAGACGGAGTTCGCCTTAGTTGTGCTAAGGGCGCGTTCTAATTTTCATCCGACAACAGATGAATGGCTAGTCTCCCTTATGTAATTGTCATGATATTTTTCCTTACGTTTTTTGTATCCTGAATTTGTACTTGACAATAGTTTTTTTTTCCTAATATATGCCACCAGTAGGGGTAACCCCTCCTGTTATTGTCAAAAAAAAATGATTAGTTCATGTTTAGACCTTTCTATTTGGCATTCAAAACATTAACCAACATTTAGTTTAATCCATCCAAACACCCCCTTATTTATTTGCGCCATTCTCGACTGTACACAATTTCTTGGCTACTGTTTCTAAGAATTTGATCTGGAAGGCTCGGGCACCTCTAAAGTGCAAGTTCTTCACTTTAATTCAATTTGGCCGTCGTTCAAAACTGTGTGGAATGCCGATCAACTAACCAATAGACACCTAGCTTGTCCTTTATACTCTGATAAGAACTTTACATTAGTGAATATCTGGTAGAGAATATTATTCTTCAATAAGTTCTGCTGTTGTTATTATACAATATTTAATATTAAGTTACTCAAATCGATCATATTACATATGAAATTATCGTATTTTTTTCTTCTAAAAATCATATAAGAGCATCTTCAAAAGCCTTTCTAAATCTTACTCTCTAAATCATCATTTGAAAAGTCATTTGCATAAAAATCATTTTCTATATCTTTTCATTCCCCACCAGTTCTTCTATATCTCATGCGCACTCTAGAGAGTCATTTTCGTCTTCTATTTTTGACTTGCGAAAAATCCGAAATAAAATATGGCTATATTTCGATAACCATTTAGAAGAGCTGTTGGAGGACAGTTTTTCACCAAAATCTTTATTCCTATCATTTAGAAAGGATACGGAGAGTCTCTTAGAGATGATCTAAATAAGAGGGTATTTGTGACTACTCCGCTCCTATTTTTGCAGCTCTGTTCCACCAACTCCACTGTGGAGTTTGTGGAGCAGGTGGTACTGTTTGGCACACAGTCTAACTCCAGCTCTAGGAATGGGTTGTTTCCATACATATGGTCTATTGTGCCCCTGAAATTTGTTGTATGTTTTGATGTCTTGGGACAAACGATCGAAAAGAAAATCTAACTTGAGTCCACAAAATAGTATAAATATTTGCCATATTGTGCAAAAAAGTATATCCACGTGCTCTAGCTACATGGGATTTCGTCGAACATGTTGCCTAAAAACGACGAACACCAGCAAGGATCACTAGTCTGCATCGAACTCGCATGGCATGGCTGCGGGAGGTGCTTGCCACCGGATCCACACCAGCTCGATGAAGGGGCATGTGCGGCTTGTTCCAGCGGGCGTGCGCATCGGAGGCAGGACTGAGTGGACGACCATGGGAGAAAGCGAATCAGTCTTTTCATTAATGAGTGGCAAGTGTAGATAATTTTTTTAACTCCATCATGAGGAAATACAAAACTCTAAAAATTAGAGTATCTCTTGAGTTGCTCCAGAAAAAACGAAAAGTTGGCCTCTAACTCCATCTTTTTCATAGAGCGGAGTTCTTGAAACCGAAGATATTTGACAACACAAAGTTAGAGTGGAGCAGTCCCAAAAACCCTCTAAATATAAATGATGAGATGAGAATCGAGACATAGGGTCAGTTTGAAGAAGAAACCCAACATGACGAATGATGAATCAGATATTGGACTCGTTTCGAGTTTCGACACGGCCCAGCCCAGCCCATATAAATTCCCAGACCCTAGAAACTTGCAGCCGCGTCTCCGACCATCGCCGAGGAACCAAAGCGAGAGACAACCCATCGCCATGGCGTCTCGTCTAGCTGCGGCGGCGGCCTCCTCCTCCACCTCCGCGTCCCCCCTCGCCCGACTAATCTCTCGCCGCGGCCTTGCCGGTGCCGCAGGTACGTGCACCTTCCCTACCCTTTCTCCAGATCTAGGGATTGCGGGCGCAGGTCGTTCGGATCCGATCGTTGATTGCGACCATTCCTGGATCTGTCTCGCCAGATTCTTGGCTGCGATTTAGTTCTGGATTCGGTGTGTTCGTGATGGATATACGTAGCCTAGGTCCGATGCGGTCGGATTGGGGGGTCGCACGACGCACATCAGAATATTTGTTGTTTCTGTGGCGTCATATCGTTGTGATTGATAGCTTACCTTGCTGAATGCTGATGGATTCGTTTTGTGTGCTTGCCAGACGGCCATGGACCTGCGAAGGTGCCCTTGTGGAAAGATCCGTTGAGCCCGAGCAAGTGGAAGGAAGAGCACGTGAGTTTACCCTCGAATCTCTTGTTTTAAGTCATTGAAGCTAACGGCATTGAGGTCTTGATCATCATGCTAGGATTAGGCGTACAACTTGAGTATATTGATTTTTCTTTATGAATCTTGGTCACTGAGCTCTTGAATTCATTTGGGTGTCTAAGTGAACTGTAGAATGTCTTCTGCGTGGAAACTACACAAGTTTGTAACTAGTGCAAATCTTTTTGGTCAGGTAGTCAGATTACAGGTTTACCTACATCTTTAGGTTGTAGGTTGCCTCTGTCATCAGTTGAATCAATACTTTTTTTAACCTTCCCATATGCAAATTTTAGCCAAGTTCTTGAAAAATTGACTGGCACTGGATACATGCTTGTGATCTATAATAATACTTCATTTGCAAAACCATAGCTGTTGGACCCTATAGCTTGTTGTCATTTGAATCATGTCATCGAATTTCTTCCTGGAAGACATTAATCCTTCTTTGAAAACACTTTGCTTCATGTGAAGTACTTCATCTAAGTACCTTTTACTGGCTGCAATTACCCAACATGAATGCCTCTAGCCAAAATATGTTGGCAGGAAGTGTTTAAAAAACCAGTCAAGGTGGCCTGGCTACAATTAGGGCCTGGTCAATGAGGCTAGGTGGCTAATGGTTGAGGTCATGTCAGTCTCAGCAGCCACTGAATCTTGTTGGTTTGCCACTAACCATTCCTCCTTACACCATCCTGATGTTGACGGATCTTTCCACATCCATCCACCCCCCCCCACCCCTTTTCTTTCCTCCCCTTCTAGGCTAGCGAGGTTAGTACCTAATAATTCTTGAATTACACTTCAATACAGATTATAACACATGGAAACAATAGCTGACTCATATCGGTGTATCTTGTTATCTTGAATATATTTTCTAAATTTCTAATATGAAAACTGGACCTTTGATGCACTTTTTCAATAGATATAAATAAATAAATTCTTTGGTGTACATTCTGAGGACCTTCATCAGATCTTGTAGTTAAGAATTCTTTATGCAGTGTCTACAGTGTTGTGGTTTTTATATATGAGATATGTATTTGATTTTATTTGCACCCAGTTGTGAAAGCTACCACAGGTCATTTGATTTTTCTATGTTATATTGTATCTTTTTGTTTACGGCATCTGCTTTTCATGTGTTTTCTATTAATCATAATTGTAGTTATTGTGCTTTGATCTGTTTATATAGCATGTTCCAAATGAACATGAGTTTCTTTTGTAATTAATTAGACCATGGAGAATTTTTTTTATAACTATGTTTCCCTCATGCAGTTTGTTCTAGCAAGCCTTTCTATGTGGGGTGCTCTTATTTACGGTGGTTTCAAGCTTTTTGGTGGAAAGAATGAAGACAAGACTGAGGTAATTCTTTAAAATTTAACCAGTTATGCTGACACTTGTACAATGTTGTCTATAGTAGCTGATTAGTTCCTGACACTTTGATAACTAGAATGTGCAACTGAGAAATAATTTGTCAAAGCAAAAAGGTTGCATCTGTGCTTAGGCCTGGGCATTAGGTTTATTGTTTCTTTGGTTGGTTTATTTGAGCAAAAAATTTTGTCACCACTCACCACAAACCAAAGCACTGCACACTTCGGTTTTCGGTTATTCAGTGGAGTCTGGTGTTTTCTGAAAAAATAATGACGTAGCAGCAAATGTTAAGAAAATCAGGGAAAACAATTGGGAAATGAGGCCCAGGTCAGATCTCAGGAGATATTGATATACACAACCGAACAAGCTCACGTGAAAGCCTGGACGCATGCCTTTGCCTCCTTGCGTGTGAGCTGGGCATGGTGGTCATGGTCCTATGCTTGCCACTGGACCTGCGGAGGCTAGCGTGCCAGTGGCGACTGTCTACTTGCGCACTTGACTAGGCCGCCTGTGCATCAACGGAAGTTCGAGCTGTTGCGTGCTCGTCATGGCCACCGGCTTACCCCTTGCCTCACTGCCACTGCCTGGGTTAGATTGGGGAAGATGAATAACTGGATAGCAACGTGGATGACGTGTGAGGTCAGGAGCAATGTGGTCTTGCCAATTGGGCTGGGCCACATGGTGTGTGAATTGGGCCAATGGCCAGCACGCTGCGTGCTCTGTTTGTTTGGTGATCTCAGTGATTTGCTTTCTGACGTTCATGAACCACACCACACTTACCGAACAGACCGAGCTTCTCCAACCACACCGAACACCAACCACTGAAAATTCCGTAAATTTTGGAATGGTACGGTGTGGTTAGTTTGGTGTGGTGTATTTTTGCCCAGCCTTGTATCACTGTGCCGTCAGCACCAACTGCAGCTTAGTTTATTGTGGGTGATCCCACAACCAATGTATCATGCTAGGTTAACTATTGCTAATACACAATCCCAACGCTTGCTATTTTTTTTTACACTTTACAGTGAGAATGATTTATGAAATCTAACTGTGTTACAAAAACCTGATCCTCTGCTACAGTCGGCACCAGCAAAGGCATAGTTGCTTGAGGTGGAGTTCTACCTATTTCTGCGGCCAGGCAACAATGTTATGTTAAATAAAAAGAAAGTTCTATGTTGTGCTTTAAAGTTGATAAATTGTGGCAATCAGAGATTTTGATTTATGTAGGCAAGATTTTGAGAAGGTACACTTACTCTCATCCACCATGAATAATATGGTTTCAGTGGAACTTCATGTTGGCGAACACTGCAAATGTTGTACTTCTTTCATGTGATTGAGGAGATTTTTTACTTCTGTTGCCATCAACACTTCAACACTGTACTTCCAAATTGATTCAAGCACCGCGCTTCCTTTCTATTGTGCTGTTACTGATGAATTTAACAGAAGTTTGATTGATACATTTATTTGTACTGCTTAGTTTGGAAATTGGAATATGGGTTGTTGCAAAGTTTTTTGAGGTATTTACGTGCGCCTCCATAAGGCCCTTCCACAGTGTGGAAGGGATGCCGAGAAAGTTTTGGGCCCCACCATCATCGGGAGAAATCTCGAAAGTTATATAGATCAGGTTGACCCACTTGGAATAAAAAAAAAGGAAAAACCACCGCTTATCTCTCCCAAGAATCCCCTGCACCGTTTCCTTCGTCCTAACCACCGTTTATTATTGTCCTGTTCGCTTGATTGAAAAGCTATAAGTATCGTTGGCTGATTTGTTGTGAGAAAAATACTATTTATTGGTTAAAAAAGTATGGCTTATAAGCCCAGAATCCCCGATGGCCGCGTACAGGCACGTGAACAAATCCCCGATGGCCCTGGACCTGGGAGAGTACTTTTAGTGCAGCTCCAACAATCAACTGAGCTATCTCTAAGATTTTTTTATATTTTAATAGATTTTAATGAAAAAGGTAGAAAAGCTAGCTCTAATCAAGAGCTAGACACACATTCTAAGATCATATAAGTGTTATGGGTCTAATACTTAAGAGTCATTGCTAAAGTTAACACTCTGTTGAAGATGTTGGCTTAGAGCCAAGGCTTAGCAGCAACATCTTGGAAGGCACACCTCGGCTTCCGGTCTTGATCAGCGCAAACCTCGTCCATGGTGAGTGGTGACCTCAATCCATGCCTCAATAATCGTTGCAGACAGACTTGATCAATGTGGCCAACATTGTCTCCGGCAGTGGCGGAGCCATGATTTATACTTAGGGGGCTGGCCGTCAGGAATTATACTTAGGGGGGGCCGGCTCGGTCTTTTCCATTACGATAATTTTATTATCTAGTTGTGTTTTGACAAGAATTTTATATAATCTCCCTCTTAATATAAATAAAAAATATTAAGTCATACTACTATTTTTTGTTGTTGTAAAACATTGGGGGGGGGGGGCCATGGCCCCTGCCAGCCCCCCCTTGGCTCCGCCAATGGTCTCCGGTGTTTATATGCACTGGATATCAATCGCCCCGGTCCACTGAAGGCTTCTCACTTTGGAAATCGACGACGACAGTTGCTCAATTTTGCTCTTCCGTATTCGCCACGTAGACACATGTGTCTGTGATTTGGCTCTGATCTAAAAATGTTGAGTTCCAGTTTGATTTTTGATATAAAATCTTGTGCTTTCATCTCTAACTAGCAAACGTGACCATGCGTTGCAACTGGAGTAAAAGTGCCACATACTTATTTATATGTTTTCCCTTTTTATAAAATTTGGGAGCTATAATTTATTTTGTGACCACAACCAAAATATAAACAAATGTTGGCAATAATATGACAATGTATAATTAAGCTTGTATCAAATTTAAATAAGGTCTTGATAAACTTTTTCTCGCATTGCTAAGCACAAAAATATGTGCTCGTCGATAAAATTAATTAATTTTTATAATATCAATATGTTGGTACAATTAAATATCAAATTTCATGAATTCTTTTGAAGACACGTAAAAATCTGTAACTTAAGGTTAGCGTGGAATTAGTTATTGATATCAAGGGCTACTATGTGTGATGATTATGACATAAGGCCGCTCTCGATTTTCCACATCATTTCATTGTTGGTGATGGCACTGGTGCATACTTGCTGGAGGCACATTTATTTAGAAATAACAAACTACTCAAGATCTAATTTCATAATTCGATTTTGGACTATCGAGATATGATTTTTGCTTTTAATACATTAATAACTTGGAGGTAGAAATATTTATTTCTCATCAGTCAAAGTGTCGGGTTCATAAACACGAGGTCCCTTTGTGGACCTGCTTCCCAGCAAAAGCTCGGCCCAGCAGACGATGATGTGAACGACGCGCAACTCCTGGGCCGGCCCAAAAACCTAACGACAGGCCAGAAGGGCGATCCAGCCTCCGACCGGAAGGCCTGGCCAAGGAGGAACGATGCTCGCTCGCCTCCGACTCCGGCCCGCCTCTCCGACCAGAAGGCCTCGCTTTCGACTTCGGCCCGCCTCTCCGACCGGAAGGCCTGGCCGAGGAGGAACGACGCTTGCTTCCGACTCTGACCCGCGTCTCTGACCGGGGATGCACCAAACCTCTGCTTACATCTCTTCTCAGACTGGCGCAGTCGGAGCCGACTGGGACCAAACGACCGGGGACGCCTGCTCGGTGAGAACCCAGGAAACGGACGAAGCAAGTAAGGCAGGACGCTCAAGTCAAACGCAATACCAAGGACCGTACCCTGTACACCTGCAGGACAGTACCGACAGGACATGTCAGAAGGGTGCCCTGCAACCTTCCAGGCATGTCAGAACCCAAGCAGTGTTGTGGACGTCGACGTTTGCCCTACAGTATTGTGGGCGCCATCAATTCCCATACCAGACGAATGCGGTAAAACCCCTCATATGCCTCTGGGCATCGACAATGTTGTGGGCGCCGTCATTTTCCATACATGGTGAATGCGGTAAAACCTCCCACATGCGTCTGGCACAAACAATATTGTGGGCGCCTACCATCATCTTGTTCCCGACGGCGTGGGCAACAAGACTTAGTAGCATACGTACTCTCTCTCTCGCTTGTAAGGCCGTCCCCTTCATCTATAAAAGGGGATGCGCTCTCTCCCAACAAAGAAGATCGATACACGGGTACTCCAACAAAAGAGGACTCTCGAACAATTCGAACAACCAATGATCGATTCACCCTCTGCTAGGTTTAGACACTCTAAAGCTACATAGAGCACATGCTCGAATACTTAGCGCACGTAAGAGCTCCCGTCACTCTCGACCCTTCGGTCCAGAGTCCGACCGGATCTCTTGCACCCCCATCTTAACCCCTTCCGTTTGTAACCCCACAGCAAACTTCAAGCACCTGGGCTTAGGAATAAAGTCACCGACCGACTCAAACTGGACGTAAGACATGTTGCCTGAACCATGTAACACCCTCGGTGTTATATTGTACTGTTTTTGTTAAAACACCGCATGAGCATCATACTTGTCTATGGATGTGTGTAATATAGTAATGTACATAACTTGAAATGTTCGTCGGAAACAAGAAACAAATGTTACATTTCATGTCGCTTTACATTGTTAGTATTCTAAGCGAATTTTTATCAGATAAAAATGCTGTAGAGCGTTTATGCGAACTTTAATAAAGTTTGTAGTACGTACTTCGTAGTCAACGGTGAAATATGTGCGGTCGAGGACGAGGCTCGCTAGCTAGTATATCAAGAAGCTCGGAAATTTAATTCGACGCGAAACCATCGAGGTTTATTCGTTTCGCGTTAAGTCTGTAAGTGGGTCGACGAAGCCGCGTTTGGAAATTTTTGTAGAACGAGCGGCCTAAGTGACATGATGTCATGGCTTGGGTCGATAGCCCTACGTACCCTCTTGCGTCTAAAAGAATTGGTTTGGCGTTTGGACCATTGGGTAGGATTTTGGAACTGCTTTAAAAAGCGTGCACATCACATAGTTCAACCAAGCCGGCGCTGGCCGCGGTCACCGCCTCTGCACGCTCGCTTCGCTGCTGCCTTCTTGCCGCCAATGAAGCACCGCCAAACCGCCATCGCGTCTGCGCAGCGTCGTCGTCAGCGTTGGTCCGCAGATCGCCGGCTTGGGTCCCCCCTATTTGTCGCGCGCTAGGCCCGCCATGATGATGGCGGCTTTGCTCCCCCCTCGGTCGTCCTCATGGTCGCTGCTTTGCTCGCGTCGTGTCGCATCGCATCGCTCGCTTGGCGTGTCGTTCGACACTGCCGTCCTAGTACTGCTCCCGTTGACGTCGGCTGTGCGCGCACGTGGGCTCGTCTGGCTTGTCGTGTTCTCACGCTTGCGCTCAAGGC